CCCATACTCCCACAACTGGTATGTACAGGGACGCCTTAATCCGCTTGACCATCACGACCGGACAAAAAGGAAGTGATAGCCGAGGCTATTTGAACCACTTCCCCGCCGGCACTATTTGAACCACTTCGGCACGCCGGCTATGCCCAAGATTACCATCCGAGTGCCGGCGGGGAAGTGGTTCAAATAGCCTCGGCTATCACTTCCTTTTTGTCCGGTCGTGATGGTCAAGCGGATTAAGGCGTCCCTGTACATACCAGTTGTGGGAGTATGGGTTCGAGTCACTTCTGGGGTGTGAGTTTTCAGTTGTATATAGTCCTGGGGACCATTCAGGCTTGTTTGCATTTGTGTTCCTCACGTGTGCCCCAAAGAATGAGGTGATTTGATAAAATGCTATGCCCAAGATTACCATCCGAGTGCCGGCGGGGAAGTGGTTCATATAGCCTCGGCTATCACTTCCTTTTTGTCCGGTCGTGATGGTCAAGCGGATTAAGGCGTCCCTGTACATACCAGTTGTGGGAGTATGGGTTCGAGTCACTTCTGGGGTGTGAGTTTTCAGTTGTATATAGTCCTGGGGACCATTCAGGCTTGTTTGCATTTGTGTTCCTCACGTGTGCCCCAAAGAATGAGGTGATTTGATAAAATGCTATGCCCAAGATTACCATCCGAGTGCCGGCGGGGAAGTGGTTCAAATAGCCTCGGCTATCACTTCCTTTTTGTCCGGTCGTGATGGTCAAGCGGATTAAGGCGTCCCTGTACATACCAGTTGTGGGAGTATGGGTTCGAGTCACTTCTGGGGTGTGAGTTTTCAGTTGTATATAGTCCTGGGGACCATTCAGGCTTGTTTGCATTTGTGTTCCTCACGTGTGCCCCAAAGAATGAGGTGATTTGATAAAATGCTATGCCCAAGATTACCATCCGAGTGCCGGCGGGGAAGTGGTTCAAATAGCCTCGGCTATCACTTCCTTTTTGTCCGGTCGTGATGGTCAAGCGGATTAAGGCGTCCCTGTACATACCAGTTGTGGGAGTATGGGTTCGAGTCACTTCTGGGGTGTGAGTTTTCAGTTGTATATAGTCCTGGGGACCATTCAGGCTTGTTTGCATTTGTGTTCCTCACGTGTGCCCCAAAGAATGAGGTGATTTGATAAAATGCTATGCCCAAGATTACCATCCGAGTGCCGGCGGGGAAGTGGTTCATATAGCCTCGGCTATCACTTCCTTTTTGTCCGGTCGTGATGGTCAAGCGGATTAAGGCGTCCCTGTACATACCAGTTGTGGGAGTATGGGTTCGAGTCACTTCTGGGGTGTGAGTTTTCAGTTGTATATAGTCCTGGGGACCATTCAGGCTTGTTTGCATTTGTGTTCCTCACGTGTGCCCCAAAGAATGAGGTGATTTGATAAAATGCTATGCCCAAGATTACCATCCGAGTGCCGGCGGGGAAGTGGTTCATATAGCCTCGGCTATCACTTCCTTTTTGTCCGGTCGTGATGGTCAAGCGGATTAAGGCGTCCCTGTACATACCAGTTGTGGGAGTATGGGTTCGAGTCACTTCTGGGGTGTGAGTTTTCAGTTGTATATAGTCCTGGGGACCATTCAGGCTTGTTTGCATTTGTGTTCCTCACGTGTGCCCCAAAGAATGAGGTGATTTGATAAAATGCTATGCCCAAGATTACCATCCGAGTGCCGGCGGGGAAGTGGTTCAAATAGCCTCGGCTATCACTTCTTTTTTGTCCGGTCGTGATGGTCAAGCGGATTAAGGCGTCCCTGTACATACCAGTTGTGGGAGTATGGGTTCGAGTCACTTCTGGGGTGTGAGTTTTCAGTTGTATATAGTCCTGGGGACCATTCAGGCTTGTTTGCATTTGTGTTCCTCACGTGTGCCCCAAAGAATGAGGTGATTTGATAAAATGCTATGCCCAAGATTACCATCCGAGTGCCGGCGGGGAAGTGGTTCAAATAGCCTCGGCTATCACTTCCTTTTTGTCCGGTCGTGATGGTCAAGCGGATTAAGGCGTCCCTGTACATACCAGTTGTGGGCATTCAGGCTTGTTTGCATAAATCAAAAATCAATTCTCCAAAATTCATTTTTATTTCTAGTCTGACGCGACACGGGCGCGTTTCGTAAACTTATTACATTTTCAAAGACTTTAGTTCACAAATACACAACTGAATAGAACTTACGTATCTCCGATTTTATATCTACATTTGAGTGAGGTGGAAGGGGTGATGTGGCATTAACACAAGACAGAACAAAATGTGGTATTAATAGGGTATTAATTTCATCAACACAAGACAGAACAAGAGTATTAATAGGGTATTAATTTCATCAACACAAGACAGAACAAGAGTATTAATAGGGTATTAATTTCATCAACACAAGACAGAACACGAAGCAATGGATATTGAATAGAAGTGTTTGTAGAAAGCCTATTGGTCCATATTTCTTGATGCTTCTATATTGGAGCGGAGTCTTGAGGTGGGTAGAATATAGTTGTGCAATAATTGGCTGTTGATTGCTGGTGTTGACTTCGTGATGTGTAGTGCCTCGCAAACGTCAAGCCGCCTGCTATCGCTGTATCTATCGATGATTTCTGTGTTGTTTACTAGGATTTCTCTGGCGATGGTTTGGTTGTGGGAAGAGATTATATGTTCAAACCATTGCCAGAGAAATCCTAGTAAACAACACAGAAATCATCGATAGATACAGCGATAGCAGGCGGCTTGACGTTTGCGAGGCACTACACATCAAGAAGTCAACACCAGCAATCAACAGCCAATTATTGCACAACTATATTCTACCCACCTCAAGACTCCGCTCCAATATAGAAGCATCAAGAAATATGGACCAATAGGCTTTCTACAAACACTTCTATTCAATATCCATTGCTTCGTGTTCTGTCTTGTGTTGATGAAATTAATACCCTATTAATACTCTTGTTCTGTCTTGTGTTGATGAAATTAATACCCTATTAATACCACATTTTGTTCTGTCTTGTGTTAATGCCACATCACCCCTTCCACCTCACTCAAATGTAGATATAAAATCGGAGATACGTAAGTTCTATTCAGTTGTGTATTTGTGAACTAAAGTCTTTGAAAATGTAATCAGTTTTACGAAACGCGCCCGTGTCGCGTCAGACTAGAAATAAAAATGAATTTTGGAGAATTGATTTTTGATTTACCTCCAACAGTGAAGCGTAATGTACGAGAGATTGAGAAAATTCGTGTTAGAATTATTAATCTTACTTTTTCGGTCATATTTAATAATATATGTCTACAGGAAAGACTGCTACCAAAATATACTAGTATATGTATATATATATATATATGTATATGTATATATATATATGTATATGTATATATATGTTTATATATATGTATATATATATATATATGTGTATGTATATGTATGTATATATATGTATATATATGTATATGTATATATATGTATATATATGTATATGTATATATATGTATATATATGTGTCGTACCTAGTAGCCAGAATGCACTTCTCGGCCTAATATGCAAGGCCCGATTTGCCTAATAAGCCAAGTTTTTCTGAATTATTATATTTTCTCAAATTTTTTTCTTATGAAATGATAAAGCTACCTATTTAATTATGTATGAGGTCAATTTTTTTATTGGAGTTAAAATTAACGTAGATATATGACCGAACCTAACCAACCCTACCTAACCTAACCTATCTTTATAGGTTAGGTTAGGTTAGGTAGCCGAAAAGTTAGGATAGGTTAGGTTAGGTATGTTAGGTAGTCGAAAAACAATTAATTCATGAAAACTTGGCTTATTAGGCAAATTGGGCCTTGCATAGTAGGCTGAGAAGTGCGTTCTGGCTACTAGGTACCGAGATATGTATATGTATATATATGTGTATATATATATATATATATATATATATATATATATATATATATATATATATATATATATATATATATATATATATATAGATATAGATATAGATAGATAGGGTTTTAAGTTGTAATCGGGGAAGATAGGCAATGACCGGGGCAATGACTTCACCTCCTCGTCACCGGAAGAGAAAATGCAACACAAGACTGGAGACTTTGGAGATCGTTGACAGATCTCCCAAGTAATTGGGCGTAACGAGCGGGAGCCGTCAGAGTGTCTCATAATATCCATATATTTCCCGAGTTAAACCTCTGACTTGACGTAGAGTTGTAAAGTGTTAATTGAAATTGAAATAAGTTTATTGAGGTAAACTTGAGGGTTCCACTCCCCGCTGCTTGGAGGGTGACCCCTCTTTAAGGTCTTGCTTGAGTTAGTAAGGTATATGAAGGAGGAGGTGGTCCATACGAGAGTCTGCATCTCTGCCATTATTTAAAAAGTGCAAAAAAAAAAAAACAGTAGCTCTAACGCCTTATCACCAGAAGCGAATTAGTTAACCTCATTTATTAAATAAGTATGGCGAGCGGTGTAGTGCAAGGATTACACACTCACATAATAAATATATAAATGAAATGTTTATTCAGGTAAAGGTACATACATACAAGATGAGTTACAAAGAGAACGTTGGATTTCTAGATAGAGCTAGTACATACAATGCCTAAAGCCACTATTACGCACAGCGTTACGGGCAAGAAGAGGAAACCTATTTGTGGGGTTGAGCAAGTGAACCCCAACATTCAACTAATGAGGTCACAGCACGGATGAATTAGTTAAGCGAATGCATCAGAATACATAAGCTAAACAAGAGTCGATTATTTATATTTCCTCTCCCTAAACTTCTTGTTGTGTATCCCTCCGCTCGGCGAGCACCGCCGCGCGCCATAACCACCCTAACGTCCCCTGTGCCCCAAAGCCGCTTTTACCCTGCCACAAACCCTACATGTAGTTTCGTATTAAATACAAAACGACCATCACAAATCGAACTTAAACAATATCCTAGAGACTAATAAATAATTTAGACACACGATAGCCATAATAACACCAGGAGAGTCGAGGATAGAGATACGAAAGCTGGGAAAGTAACTGTCTGGAGGAGGGGGGAGAGACCCCCCCAGAGGGTCACTCGTCGACGATAATGGCGGAATATGAAAACACTGCCGCTGTGTTTACGTTGGTGGATCCTCTGACGGTCACCTCTCTATAATGGTTCCGTGACTTAACGCAAGGTAGGAGGCTGCCTCTGGAGAGCGGCGTAAGGCCCTCCTGGCCCTGGTAATAGCCCCAGAATACCCCTTTTCCCCCCCTCTCCTACTCCCTACTCCGTCATGCGAGACCTGTAGGAGGATGGTAATAATCTGGGTCGTCGTCCCACAGCTTTGGGAAGGTGGTGGGCCGCCGCTGCCGCCCCGCTCGTAATTGGTGGTGTTGTGGGCCAGCAGGTGGGCCCACAGTGGCGTGGTAGGGGCCCCACGGGAGCCCCACAGCGGCCCCAGCACGCCACTTTGGCTAACGTTACACAACACTAATGTTATTACGACTTGGCTTGCCCTAGACTACCCTGGGCTCCCCCTGGCCTACCCTAAGCTACCCCAAGTTACCCTAGATTACCCTAAGCTACTCTAGGCTACCCTAGACTACCCTGGGATGCCCTGGGCTATCCTGGACTAACCTAAGCTACTCTAGGCTACTCTAGGCTACCCTAAGCTACTCTAGGCTACTCTAGGCTACCCTAAGCTACTCTAGGCTACCCTAAGCTACTCTAGGCTACCCTAAGCTACTCTAGGCTACCCTAAGCTACTCTAGGCTACCCTAAGCTACTCTAGGCTACCCTAAGCTACTCTAGGCTACCCTAAGCTACTCTAGGCTACCCTAAGCTACCCTAGGCTACCCTAAGCTACTCTAGGCTACCCTAAGCTGCTCTAGGCTACCCTAAACTACTCTAGGCTACCCTAAGCTACTCTAGGCTACCCTAAACTACCCTAAGCTACTCTAGGCTACCCTAAGCTACTCTAGGCTACCCTAAGCTACTCTAGGCTACCCTAAGCTGCTCTAGGCTACCCTAAGCTACTCTAGGCTACCCAAAACTACTCTAGGCTACCCTAAGCTACTCTAGGCTACCCTAAGCTACTCTAGGCTACTCTAGGCTACCCTAAGCTACTCTAGGCTACCCTAAGCTACTCTAGGCTACCCTAAGCTACTCTAGGCTAACCTAAGCTACTCTAGGCTAACCTAAGCTACGTTAGGCTACCCTAAGCTACTCTAGGCTACCCTAAGCTACTCTAGGCTACCCTAAGCTACTCTAGGCTACCCTAAGCTACTCTAGGCTACCCTAAGCTACCCTGGGCTACTCCAGACTACCCTAGGCTACCCTAAGCTACCCTGGGCTACTCCAGACTACCCTAGGCTACCCTAAGCTACCCCAGACCACCCTAAGCTACCATAGACTACCCTGGGCTACCATAGACTATCCCAGACTACCCTGGACTACCTAAAGTACAAGAGGTAATGGCCCAGCGGTGCTCATTGGTGTCCTAGTGGCTGTGGTTCATTGGTTATACACTCCTAGTTGTGCTTGTGCTGGGGTTGAGCTTTAGCTCTTTGATCCCGCCTCTCAACTGTCAATCTACTGGTTGTGGGGGCGGGGGAGTGGGTTGGTGGCCATGTTGTAAGCAAATAATAATAATAATGGCGATGGAACTGTTGTGGACCAAGTCGTATGCTCTCAATTGGGAATCCTGGGTTTGAATTGCAAGCAGGACAGAAGTGGTTGGGCATTTTACCATTTCTTGTAGTACCTCTGTTCATCTAGCTTTACCACTGATGATTAATTTACAGAACTAACCAGCATACTGTACATAAATACATACAACATATATATTCAGTCTGTACATACGTACATGTACTGTGTAATTACTTAAGTGTAGTTACAGGGTGAGAGCTGCACTCGTGGAGCCCCCATCTTCACACTACAGTACTGTCATATAATGCTTTAAACAGTTTTGGCCACCCTCTCATTTGGCGCAAAGTTGGCACTGGCTGTGCCTGGCGCAAAGCTGGCGCCGGCTGTGCCTGGCGCAAAGTTGGCGCCGGCTGTGCCTGGCGCAAAGCTGGCGCCGGCTGTGCCTGGCGCAAAGCTGGCCCCGGCTGTGCCTGGCGCAAAGCTGGCCCCGGCTGTGCCTGGCGCAAAGCTGGCCCCGGCTGTGCCTGGCGCAAAGCTGGCGCCGGCTGTGCCTGGCGCAAAGTTGGCGCCGGCTGTGCCTGGCCCAATATAACGCTCAGAATGTCCAGAAATGCATGGGAGTAGCAAGTTGGAAAAGGAACCATTCATTCTCATCTCTTCTGTATCATTTGCAGTGCTTTGTATTTACCAAGAGATTATACATCATTTTATACAAATGAGAATATCCAACATTTACTATGCAGTTATCTGTTAAAGTAGCTTCCAGTTATCAAAAGAAAACCCACTGATATTATTTTATTGCCATGGAATATGTATCCACATTCAGACACTGTGTGCTAGCAACTGTGAGTAATAATGTGTTGTTAGTTGTGGTGTGTGTGGTAGTAGTAACAGTGAGACTTCAGGGCCTGCATTCTAATAGTTTGGATTGTACGGTAGTATAAGTCTCGGACATGAAATATTTTAGGAGTGCCATAGGGGTAAATAAAGAGTTTGATATGAGTTTGAGATGTATTATTAAGGGTATGTTTGCACGAGATATATACAGTATAGTGTATTGTTCTTCACTGTACAATATTTACATTTTGTGTGATTAGGTTCTGGGATACATCCTATTTTTTTTCCGTGTCATTCAACATATTGGTACCATGCAGATCATTTTGACATAAGGTATCTTGGATTGTAAACCCTATGTAAAGTCCAAGAGTTGATCAGTTTTAATCTGTTAAACAGCTACCAACCACTTGGACTGGACAGTAGAGTGACTTGCAGGTTGGCATTTAATCCTCAACCCTCAAAGAGGTTGGGCACATTAGAAATACTTGTGCATTTTTGTAATGTCTACTTTAAATATGATATATATATTTTTAATCGAATCCATTAATTTTTTTAGTGTAGCCGCTAACATTTTAATTCTTATGTAGTACTTTAAAACTTCCCCAATCATGTCATGCAGTTTACGGATAATTAGCAAGATTGATGCCAACCATGCCACACTGGAAGGATTAAACAAAATATGTATACATTATATTTTAACGCTAGTTTGAGATGGGTTAGTTTATTGCTCCTTTACAAACCTGTCCTGCAAAAAATGTGATTGTATTGGCTTGTGCATTTTTCTTAAGGTTTAGAAAGTAGAATAAATATGTATATACATACTGTACTGTTTTAACCAACTGATGAAAGCATATAAGTTTTGTTTGAACTGTGTGTATATTAAAGTTGTGTGCTTCTACTTGTTTATCATACTGTGAATTCTTTTGCATTTGGCAGAGCACCCATCAAGATGAGTGGTAGATACAGTAGAACATATAGTCGCAAAAAAGCTGCTCCACCCCCAATAAGTCAGTTTGACAAGTTGGTGACTGAGCCAGGCAGCAGCAACAGCACTAAACCTTCAGCAACCAAAACTGCCGGACACGTGGGCAAATGGGGAATTACATCATTTACGTCGCTACGAAGCATCAATGGTGGACTAGGTACGTGGCTTCATGAATTATTTGTGAAAAAATGTTTGACGTGTGCAAATTTGATTGATTGAGTCTGAATAGGTTGCAAGGTAACTATGATATGTTGGTGATTAGATAGATGTGTGCAGACTGTGTTGAACAAGTCACTCTACCTTGACTAACAAACACCAGGACCCACTCCATATGAGAGAGAGAGAATTTTAAAGCCAACCTAAATTATCATCATTCCCAGTATAATCTGGGACAGGCAAAACACTTGTAAATTTCTATAATTACTGGAGTGTACTTGTACACTTACCTGTACATGCAGTATTGCCACTTGGTACTTTTATTATAGCTTTTTTATGCTTATGATTCCTCTTAACCATAATACTGTATTAGTTTATCTATGTCTAGAGTTCCCATAAATATTGTGTAAATTAGCCAAAATGTTTATATTTCAACACTAATTTTGTATTTTGATGGTAGGGATAATGTATCTTCCAGAGAGGTGCTCCCTCCAGTAACTTCCTACCTAGTAGGAAGGTAGTAGCAGTAGGCAGGTACTTGGTAGGACCAGTAGCATTGGTCCTATCAAGCCTTAGGAGGATGCACTAGGCAGCCAAGACCCCCACCCATACCAACCAGGAACTAGAACCAGACACTAGTGGTCTGGCAAGGGGAGCTTGAGGATTGCAGGTCATACCTAGAAATAACCTTGCTAGAATGTACTCAAACATTGAAGGGATTACAAATAAAGCAAGCCTGGCCTCAGGCCGGGCTCGGGGAGTAGACAAACTCTTGAAACCCTCTCCAAGTATGCTCCAGGTAAGTGAACTGAGCAAAAGGGCACAAGAAGAAAACCCTGATGTAATTGCACTCACACAAACAAAATTGTCAGGCATCATAACAAATGCAGTGTTTCTGCAGAACTACTATATAGTAAGGAAAGAGGGGAGGGAGATAGGAAGAGTGGCCCTGCTGATAAAAAAGGACTAGAGTTTCAAGGAAATGAATATTCTTCTGTTCTGTGAAGGATTCAGAGACTGCATAGCAGGAACCATGACAATGGGAGGGCCTAAGATAATAGTATCAGTAATTTGTAACCCTGCATTAAATGATAGAAGACCCATTACACAGAAATCACAATAGCGTGATGCATCAAATGGACAAAATCCACCCTCGTTACAGCCCTTGTGGATTTGTTCAATAAAAGACCCAGATAGGAGTTTGATAGAAACATGGCAACCATTAATATAATACAGAGCAGCTTCAGTTGCCTGCAGGAATGGATCCAGACTTTTAATCATGGGTGACTTCAACTGTGGAAAGATAGATTGGGAGAATGGAGAACCACATGCAGGTGCTGATGCATGGAGAGCTAAACTATTGGACGTGGCATAAAGAAACTTTGAGCCAATATGTTGAGGGACCCACAAGAATGAAAGGCAACGATGAACCAGCTAGACTTGACCAATAATTCACCCTGAATGAGTCAGACATAAGGGAAGTCAAATTAGAAGCTGTTGTCACTCGTTCCCCTTGGGAACGAGTGACCACAGTGTACTGACATTCAAGTATCAGGTGGAAGTAGGAATAACCTCTCCGAGAAAGGGATCAGGAAGGGATAAAAAATGTCAATGTGAAGTTTAATTGAACCTAGAAAGGCGCAAATCATATACTGTATATATATGATTTGCAGATTTAAAATATTTAAAATAGTCCTACACATACAGAGCTTGCATTTGCTTCCTCTGGCCTCCAATAACTATCCCTCATTTTGGGGGGGGGGGGAATCCAGTCCCTCACTTTCCTTCTAGGGGCCTTGATAAGAACATGAGGACCATTGTTCACCACAACACCACCATCCAGTGTCTGAATGTTGAGGGCAGCCATAGAGGAGACACTAAACTTTTAGCAACAGCAAATGAGTGATTACCATGTATATATTTGAGTGTGCTGTATGCAATTTTAAGATTTAGGATTGTATATAAGCTAATAATAGTATGAACAAGTACATGGGGTCTGTATACCTATATTTATACTCGTACTGTATATCCATACATACTTGTATTTTCCCTTATACATAACAAACAGTACCTTTGATGCGTGCATGCAGCCTGTTAGCCATGAAAAAAGTAAATAAATAAAGTGAGAAACAATAAAAACGTATCAGCAGATATTTCTATGCAGCACCTTACCTCATTTCTACCCCAAAAAATACAACTTCTCGAAACCACTGCAGCTAAACCACAAGAAATACTTTATTTAGATTTGAAAATCAAAGCGATTTTTTCTTGCTCACATTGGATGTCGGGTATTAACAGTTAAGCAGCCCAAGGGTTAATATGAGATGTCAAAGTAATTCTTTACTGTAATTATTTTATACATATTTTTTTTTTTAGTGTAAAGTTTTAACAAATATATTAATTCTGCCCTTATCCACAGGCAAAGATGACAGTGGCAAGCGTTATGCTGATGACTCCCCACCATCCAGCATTGGTGATGATGCCTACAGCTTTGACAGTGGTAACCCTGCCAATGGAGCCTCATTGCAAGTCAGGCCTCCAATTAAAACATTCAGTAAACCTCGAAAGTTCTTCAAAAGCAGGAATACGGAGGTGGTTTCTGAGCCTCCAAAGACCCTAGTGGACAAAGCTCGGGGAAAAGTGAGCGATGGTCTATACAATATGAAAATTCCTCCTCTGTCGTCCTTTGAGTCACCAGACTCTAGTCAAGGGACAGTAAAAAGCAGCCTTGAAGCAAGTGAAGAAAGTGTGTTCGATAAGCTTGTGACTAGTGCAGTAGCAAAGCCAAACAATTCTGAGACTGTGACCAGTTCAAAGTCTAGCAGTGGAATCAAGTTAAAAATCTTTAAGAGCAGAAATGTTGCCTCATGTTCTCAGGAAACTTATTCTAGCACGGTGGAATTACCCAGTGATGATTCCCGTGCTGGTAGCGCCTCAACCAGTGTTGCTAGTTCTCCATCCACTAAAGATTTCAGTGAGGAAAACAGAGACTCTTCGGAGGAGCTAGTGCCCTCCGGCTCCCCATTGACCGAGTACAAAGAATCACAAGTCACTTTATCAAATATTTCGTCAAGAGACACTAATTATCACTCTCCAGATAGATTGGCGTCTCCAAATAGAACATCAAATACGACCATTGATTCTAGTTTTGAGTTTGCTGGACTAATGGACCAGAGAACTGGTCTCCCTGTAGATATGTGTATTGATGATAGTTTTAGTTTTTCAGGGAAGAAATCAAATAGTGAAACTCCTCACTCTAGTGTCAAAAAATCGTACAGTTCTAAATTCTCAAAATCGGGTGAATTAAACAAATATATGAGTAAAAATATAGAACCAATATCGTCTTCATCTGACATTGATACGCGACAAAACGTTTTAAGTGGCGAAGTCTGTGATGGCCCGTTGACTGACGATTTTGACATATTTAGTATGAGCACAAGTGATTTTGGAGAACCTCGGAAAATGTCACCAGTAGGTAGAAGTGTTAGTCCTGGGGTGTCCTCGGGTGTGGGAGATGGCGAGAGTGATAACTTTGATCTATTTAGCACAGACTTTGATGAAAATGAAATTGAAGACCGCACCAGCCTTGAGGTTGCTGCCTCGAGTGACCTGGCTATTAAAGACTCTACTTCTGTGGCTGAAGAACAGGAAATGGAGGATTTGCTGTTCTCAACTCAGGGTTCAATTATTTCTTCACAGGCATCCACCACTTCCTCCTACGAGTCTTTCAAGCCAGGCCACTCAACTAAGGCAGAAAGTGAAGGTGTTAAAAAAATTGAACAGCCGCCTTTGGTTAAGAAGAGGAGTATCTTCAAGAGCAGAGATGCTGACAGAGATGCCAAAAAGCGAGCCACATACCGACACAAGTGGCACGACCAGGATGAAAAAGACGACAGCTCCAAACAGGCCCCACCAGCTTTGCCCAGCAGCCAAAGTGCATCATCAGCTGCCTCTGCATTTGATGAGTTTGACTTTGAAACACCAACGTTAAAAAGAGTGCATACCTGGCCTGGAACAGGCACAGGAGATTTGGACGACTCTACGGAGGCACAATCGGTGACCAGCGTGAAATGTGCAAAGGGTGTAAAGCAGGTAAGATTTTTTTGTTTTTTGTTTTTTGTTTGGAACCAATTCACAGCGTTGAATCCTTGTGTAGCGTGTATATTTTCTCTTATAGCAGGCTTAGCACTTTAAAAAAAATAGACCAAAAACTGTTGAACACTCAAGGATTAATGCTAAAAAAGCACTAAAAAAAACTAATTGAATATAGTAGGATAGTAGGTGGGTGAAGTATATACCAGTGTGTAGGAAGAGTAGATGCTATTGGAGGAGGGTTGATGTATGACATACAAAAGAATGTTGTAAATTGAAGAATGTGCATTTTAGTGATGAGGTGGCAATAAGCTTTGGGAAATGAGATGATGCAAAATCCAGTAAGAATGTGCTGAGAGAACCCTTGCACATCTGTTTTCCTGCAGTAAACTCCCTCCTGTTTCATGGATCTAAGGTATAGGGTCATGTTAGTCAATTTGTTTTTCTTGCTCTTTGTGTGTACATTTTTGGAGAATGTAAACTGACACCTGCATAAATTTGCTTTTAACAAAATTTGAACTGCAAAAGTGTGGCTGTGACTGAATAGGAGTACTGTATGTATAGTATACAGTATCTGCAACATTCTTTCTGCCAAGTTGTCTTGGTGAACAATTAACAGATCCTATTCAACAAACTGGCTTGATGACTTCTTGCACCTGGTACTACAGTATTAGGGCAAGGTGTCCTTTTCTCAACCGATTGTTGAAAATGTTGCAAACTCCTCAGATACGCTATTGCATTCAAATAAAAAGATAGAGCCTGGTACTGTATTTTCCTTGATTGTGCCCGATTCTTAAAAAAAAAAATGAAGAATCATTTATCAAATATTAGACATTATATTTTATTTACAGTGGGAACTCATTTATCCTGGTGTTTATGTGGGCTCCCACTTTACATAGAAAGAATAAAATTTGGATGTATTTTATTATGAATCCAGGTAAAAAATGTAGTGAATCAGGTCTTATAACTAGTTGGTGTCTATGCTGGCCTAAACTTAGTTTTTTTTTTTTTTTTTTTTTTTTTTTTTTTTTTTTTTTTTTTTTTATAAATAACTTTGCTCAAGTCAGAACATGATGTTTATTTTCCGTGTACACACAACATAACACGATCACCACAGCAAAATATGGGCGTCTCGATTAAAACTTGGAATTTATTTATTACAATAATTACTGGGCCTAAAAATGTAATGTAATTTTGAAGAATTTTCTAGAGCTAGATGTCACACTATAGACAAAATTAGACAAACTCAACTAAACTATTGCTTTGCAATACTGTATATAAATGGGCAGAAGCAAATTTTGCAAACAACAAACAGTTCGACTGGGGCACAGGCAGCAAACATGCTCAAGAGCAGTGGTTGCAAAGTTTTCTTGTTTCATGCTACAGATATATGCCTTTCAAGCCCCATTTAATATTTTACAATTAATTTCAACTACTTCATACATTGAAATCCATTTCTGAAAGCATATTTCACAAGGATGTGCATTTCTTAGTTGAATATTCTGAAACCAACAACAAAATTATACAGCGTTATACAGCACTATACAGCATTAAGATGCTATATAGTGTGAGATTTTTTTCAATTTTTAACAATTATTATAATTCCTAGAACCACCATAGTAGTTAATCATCCAGAATTGATGCTACAGATTCAGTACATAGGCAGCCATTGTTGACTCCCACAGTAATAATGTACTGTACAGTATTGTAAATAATTTTAATCAAATTCAGAGAAATTCAAAGTTTTGTGATGCCTTCCCAGTAGTTTAAATGTGACATACAACAAAATTAAAAAGTAGAAATCAGTACTATTGAATTTGGACAAACCAGAAAACAATTGTCTATTTATATTGCAAAGACAAACTAAATTAACCTAACCTAATCTAACCTTCCTAGGCCTAATACATCCTATCCAAGGCCTAATATAGTACATATGTGTGGTATAGTAGGCCTATGAATGCAGGTATAGTTTTATTTTTTAGCTTCAATTTTTCTGGCCTCTATAAAGTGGATAGTACAAAATTTTACTAATTGCTTAATACAGTATACGGGAGTCGGTCGGCCGAGCGGACAGCACGCTGGACTTGTGATCCTGTGGTCCCGGGTTCGATCCCGGGCGCCGGCGAGAAACAATGGGCAGAGGTTCCTTCACCCTATGCCCCTGTTACCTAGCAGTAAAATAGGTACCTGGGTGTTAGTCAGCTGTCACGGGCTGCTTCCTGGGGGTGGAGGCCTGGTCGCGGACCGGGCCGCGGAGACACTAAAAGCCCCGAAATCATCTCAAGATAACCTCAAGAATTACATCAATGTTTGTACTATGGTTGTCTTGAGATGATTTCGGGGCTTAGCGTCCCTGCAGCTGGTCCTCGACCAGGCCTCCTTTTTGTTACACATCCTAAGGAAGCAGCCCGTAGCAGTTGTCTAACTTCCAGGTACCTATTTGCTGCTAGGTAACGGGGGCATCAGGGTGAAAAAAGCTCTGCCTATTTGTTTCCGCCTCCACCAGGGATCAAACCCGGAACCTCAGAATTACGAATCTGAAGCGCTGTCCCCTCAGCTGTTAGGCTCCAAACATACGGTTATCTTGAGATGATTTCGGGGCTTAGCGTCCCAGTGGCCTGGTCCTCGACTAGGCCTCCTTAACCAGGTCAAGGACTGTGACCAGGTCCTCGACGGTGCACATAGTTACAAAAAGTACTACAGTATATAAATAGGAAGATGGATTGTATTGTGACAATGTGTGTGATGGTTGTAGACAAAGTACTGTAGTCTTCGTAAGAGTGTCAAATATATATTATGTACTGTTGTTTATAAAAGTAGGTTGCAGTTATTCCAAGAAAGCCACTGATATTATTTCATATATTGCCTTGGAATATGTATCCACATTCAGACATTGTGTGCTAGCAACTGTGAGTAATAATGTTGTTAGCTGTGTGTGTGTGGTAGTAGTAACAGTGAGACTTCAGGGCCTGCATTCTAATAGTTTGGATTGTACGGTAGTATAAGTCTCAGACATGAAATACTGTAGTAGTAGTAGCACTAGTGCTGTAAGGTAAATAAGGAGTTTCAGGTTTAAGTTTTATAATTAATATTAATTAACAAATTATGAATAACAGAGTATGTTTACATGAGATTTATATAGTGTATTACTGTATTCTACAAACTGCCTGACAGAGCAGGTTATTACCAGAGAAGCCAGACTCTAGGCTGGGCTTGGAGAATAGAATTTTTCTCAAAACTCATTACTGTATAGGAAAACTGCAGGCACCTAATGTGTAATCACCCTTATTACAAAATACAAATGGCAGGACATCACCAATTTATAATGGAATTTCTACTTTTAGAACTATGTATATTATGTATATATCATGCCTTGCTTTGTTTCAATACTATTAGGGAAACTTTAGAATAACATTACTGATGATTGGCCGTCTGCATGTTCGGACATAAACATCTCCCAGGTACAGACACTTGCACCAGGTACCTCAATATTCAGTGGCTTGTATTTTGGGAACCACCGATGTTTAAGATCCGATATTATTGGAAATAGAAGCGGTGTGTGTCATTGCTAAGTGACCCCATTATGCAGATAAATTGGTCTCTGGGTATAGTAATTGAAACTGGGGCTGAGTGCGCACCAAGTGTGGCGATACCAATGACCTATATCCTGTTAGCATCTAAAACTTATAGATCAGAGGTAAACAAGCATTGGGCTTAGACGGAAGAAAATTTTGAGAAGCCCCCAGCATGGGGGCACGTCCCCTCGGACCCCCCCATTATTGGCATGCAAGAGAGGCACCTCAATAGGCGAAACATTAGTTGGGCACAATTTCCAGCTAGAAGGAGGTAAAGTCTCTCATAGAGTTTTCAATATGTGACTGTAAAGGTGAGGATGAGTATAGGCCGAACTTATACAAACCTAAAAAAAAATTTCCTGCGATTGACTGAAGGTCTAAGTTGAACAAAAACAAACCTAACCTAACCAACACATGCCTTTTGATTTATAAGGAAGATCTAGGTGGGACATGAAAACATACCTAGATACACCTCTGGTTTGTATAAGGCTCCAGTCTTAAACCTAAACAAACCTAACAACTTCTCAACAAGCTCATATTGTACATGTCTGGGTCCAACCCAAAATCCAATCAAACCAAACCAAACCGAACCCAACGACCCAACCCAACCACCTATTTGTTGGATTATATTATAAAGGTTTAAACAAATACCTAAGCCTAAAAACAGGTTGCACAATTCTTGTGATGTTTGCAGAGGCTTAAGCCTAAAACTTAGCCTAGGTAAGCCCATAATATTGGTGGGTTATGGGAGCTTTCTTGCTATATGACTAATATACAAATATACATAATTATGTATACTATATATTACTGGTATATAATGTTAGTGTAAAAAAAAACAAATGTTAATAATATGAAAAAATAAAGGCACCATTAGCTGTCATTTATGATAGGGGGGGAGGGGATAGAGTATGGTATTCTTGACACATTGAGGGCTACTGCATACCTATCTATATACATTTGCATTTTTGTTTTTGTATCTGTTGACTAGAGAATTCATTGCCAAACATTTTGACACAATTTATAGCTGTACCCTTTTGAAAAACTGATAAAATGTAAAATTGATAGTAAATATTTGTCATATTGCCGAGTGGTCCAGAGAGGCCAAAATGTTGACAGTACTCGCCTAGTTGTGCTTGCGGGGTGGGGTTGGGGGGGGGGTTGAGCTCTGGCTCTTTGGTCCATTCCAGAGTCAGGTCAAGACTGTGTGGAGAGGCTGGACTTGCGAATATTCCTGGGATAAATTTGATTGTCACTGTAAACTATTTTCTTCAATTACCCCTTTTCTCTGCAATGTATGACTAAAATTCCAAAAGAAAGTGTTGCCTATAGGCCTATTTACTTTAAATGATACTTGTATTCTGACATTTGCACGAGCATGAGATATCCCAGAGCTAGACTTGATATTGGAAGGTTTTATAAAGATTGGTTGCCGTCGAGCCTTTTGTAGATCTATAGTGGTAGGAGTATACCCCAGTATTATCTTTCTTCTTTTCAGTATTACACAGTGGTAAAGAATGTGAAAAGAACACATCAGCTTCAGGAGTCTGGAGAATTCCAAGAGTTCAATGATGATGTAGAATATTTCTTGGATGCCTTACGGCCTTCCATGCCTGTATCCACCCGGTGTTTGGCTGCCCTCAACCTTGCTCAGAAGTGTATGGTACCAGCCTTTAGAATGCATCTGCGGGCACATGGTACCGTCATCAAGTTCTTCAGTGCTCTGTCTGATGCTCATTCCGATCATGTGAGTGTGCTTGTGGAGGGGAAGAGGAGTACTGCTGGATGTGTGCAGATTGACACTAACAATTATAAGTCACTCGATAATATTTACTCATGGCTTCGCCTAGTTTCTAGTGTTTTCCAGGCTGAACAGATTTACCCAATCCTTCTCGGTTTATCTATCCATTTATTGACCATAATATAACAATATTGTATTAAGAACAATCCATAAATTGTGTGAAGTGCACTTTATTGCTTAAATTTATTGGTAGCTGTCATTACAGAATAAGTTGGCATACTCTTGTTGGATAATACATTTTGGTTAAAGTTAAGACTGATTAGTTTGTGTGGTCTGAACAAGTAGAGGTAATATGTAAGATTCTATAAAAAAAAATTCCAACTATCTCCATTTGCAATGTTGCCTATTTGCATATGACAAACAGCTTGCAGAAGTTATCCAAGATCATAGATGCCAGAGCAATGACATATGATTCAAGGTGTCAACTTGTCAAGGTATATGCTTCATTGTGGAGTGCTTCCTCTTGACAGATGTCCCCTAAATTGTGGATGGTTAGATCGTGCAATACTGTTGTCTACTCGTTGTTGATTCTGGAAATTAACATCCCTGTAGCCTTGTCTCTTACCCAGGGACCAGATTCACGAAGCAGTTACGCAAGCACTTACGAACCTGTACATCTTTTCTCAATCTTTGGCGGCTTTGTTTACAATGATTAAACAGTTAATGAGCTCCGAAGCACCAGGAGGCTGTTTATAACAATAACAGTTGATTGGGAAATTTTCATGCTTGTAAACTGTTTAATAAATGTTACCAAAGGCATCAAAGATTTAGGAAGGATGTACACCCTCGTAAATACTTGTGTAACTGCTTCGTGAATCTGGCCCCAGGCCTCCTGATGGGTAGTCTGGATAACCAGGCTGTTAGATGCTGCTACTCACAGTCTGATGTATGAATCACACTTTGGTTGATCTGTATTTGTAGGTGGTGATTATTAAGTTGACTTTTGAACACCATGAGAAGTTGGCTAGTTATGCCCCTTATGTTTAGATGGACTGATGAGAAGACTCAGGCCCTTGATGTTAGCAGAATTCTCCCTCTCGGTGTACCTATTGCACCACTGCTTATCAATGGGGTTATTCTGCACTTCCTGCCATGCCTCATGATCTCCTAAATCATTACTGTATCTGGACTTTAACCAATTTAATTTTTGTCTCTTGGTCAGATAACTGATAAAATTCAATATTTATTTAATTGGCAGTCTTGTACAGAAAAGTTACCTGACCCCAAGGGGTAAATTTTATATTAATCAAGTTAAAATACCTTAATGAAATGAGAATTTCTCAAAACATTACTGTACTGTATATTTAAAATGATGAAATTTATTTTAGTAATATAGTTCTGCTAGATAGCAAGTCTTGAAATGTTTTATAATTTTAATGTTTAATGATTTGTTGTCTGTCAGAGACTGGCAATATGTGCAGCGACAGTGATGTTTACACTGAGTCAGGACCGGCTTAACATGGACCTGGACCGTGACTCTCTGGAGCTGATGTTGAATCTTCTCGACACCGATGCCGACACTTTGGAAAATGTCCCTCCTGTAGATGCCTCTTTTGTAACCCAAAATAAGAAAAAGATCATGGAACTCTGTCGGGACATGCAAAAAAAGGGCCATGCAAAGCATCTTGGTTTGGATAACATCAATGTAAGTCCTTTGCTTGCTGGGTCAAGTGTAGTGTAGTTCATATGTTGTGCACCCCATGCCTATCCTTGGAGTGGTAGTGGAAAAGGTTAGAGGTTCATTTTGGGTTCAGGAACTAAACCTCACAGTTTATGTAAGCAAGTTACAGAACTGATGATTTATATTGCAGTAAATTGTGTAACTAACTCAACAGTGGTTTCATAGTTTACCAAACTAAGATCACTGTGACCTCAAGATCCCCTAATGCAGTGAGAGTTATAGTTGAGCCAATTGCATATAATTTTTATTTGGCTATCATGCAATCTTGGTTAAGACAAATTTTGTTTTTTCTTCCTATAACACATTAAAGGCAATAATAATTAATATTTTAGTCAGGTTATGAAGGATTTATATGCTGTCTAAGCCCTAGGTAAAATAGTTGTGAAGTTTTAGTATGAATTCTGTGGTGGATATTTGGCCAGAGAATATTAGTGGAAGTGATGTTATTGTTTGACCTGGAAAACTTTAGGTGAATGAGAGCAGAGTCGTGAAAAGTGGATATGATTTATTTATTTTGTATTATTGGTATTGGAGGAAACTGTAATGCTCACTCTTGTCTCTCAGGCGGGCAATCTAGCCATGGAGACACTCCTCAGTCTAACTTCAAAGCGTGCAGGAGAATGGTTTAAGGAGGAGCTTCGGGAACTAGGAGGAGTGGAGCACTTGATACGCACCATCACAAACTGCACACAACATTTCTCGCCAGACTTGGAAATGTGGTCCCATCCGTTGTTGGAGAAGTTGTCTAAGGTCGACCGCTGCCTCAAAGTCTTGGAAAATGTGAGTAGCAGTGTACAAATAATTTATTTACTGTCTTATCCCTCAAAGTAGGCCTGTCGTCAAAATTGTCACCTTTACCTGTTCGAAAAAAAGGATTTGGTACATGCAAAATGAAAGAAAATTACCCCTCTTTCTGGTTTGGCAAGCTGCAGGAGATAGACGAGTGGCAGTGTCCCTCAACACCTGAAGTTGGCTGACTCTGCAGTATGGGACAGTGTACCCTGGAAACTGTTTTCTTGATTCACTAAATAGTTGACAACATTACACAATAGTGTTTGTGTTGAATAATCCTATTGTAAGAGCACATAATTGACAACCAGTGATTGAGTGCTTTGTTAACCATAAATGTATATTAAGGTCTACAATGTTAATATGTACAATATTTGCAAATAATTGCACATCACATCACTCGCCACAAGGAGGTAGGATTGACGGCTCTGGAGCTCCTGGATTTTTATAATTTGAAAGGGATAAACACGGTAAAAAAGTGCATACAAGTGACAATGTCAGGCACACACAGAAACCTAAAAAGTTACAGGAAGCCTAAATTGTCATTTCATTAGTAGTAGTGTGGGAGTTTGTTGTTGTTAAAGATTCGCTACCTGGAACAAAGTTCCAAGTAGCACGGGCTATGGTGAGCCCGTAGATGTGGGAGTATATGGTGCATTGTAAAGTGAGCAGTGGTTCAGGGTGTGGCAGGGACCTGACCTGAGGTAAGGCGGGTAAATGAGTGAGAGAGAGCTACCCATGCAACCATCCAAGGTCTTAGTGTGGAGGGAATATTTCCTAAACTTAAAACATGCAACATTATGAAATAGTTTAACATTAAAACAGTGAAAGATTATCGAAAAGAAATGAAAAAATGAGGTAATTAACCCCTGCACTGCGCACCTGTTACATGAGACCCTCTTGAGGTGTGCATTAACAATTTGATTATTATTATTTTTTCATTTGGGAATTTTAATTGTCATCCAGAAGGCACCACAATCCAAGCAAAAGTATCTCTTGGGGTATCTCTCTCTCTTATCCCCCTCCCCCGCTCTCCCTTTGATAGGTCTTGTCCTAATGACTGGTTTACCTTCATAACTTTTCAATTTCCTGGCATTCCTAAGAACTTTCGTTTGTTTTACTGCATTAAATCTCACCCTAAGGTGGCAATACTCATTTACAGTATTTATTTATATATACAAGAGTTCTTAACATTCTTGTACAGCCATTAGCACGCATAGCGTTTCAGGTAGGTCCTTGATCCTAATTTTTCTCCGGAATACTACCTGCCAAATCGTTCGTACCCATTCACTGTTGGGTGAACAGAGACTACAGTTAAGGATTAGCGCCCGGTCAATCCTTCTCGGCCAGGATACGAACCCAGGCCAAAGCGCTTGTGAAGCGTCGGGTGAGTTTCTTACCACTTCACCACGTTGACTGCTTTGTTGGTCTTTCGCTCTCTTGTATTTGCCTATCCTCTTAAAATCATTGATATTTTCCTTTGACGTGAGGCCCTCTGCAACTGATGTGCACCTGGTAGTTTGGCATTGTATCAGCACTGTGGCTTCAGGAAGCCACCGGGCCTCACGCAGAAACTAGCATTTCATTACATTTAATGCTGGTTTTTATTTTTATTTTTTCCATGTAGGTGTTGCCTCATTTTTATACAGACTCTGGACATTTTATACTGATCTCGAAGTTTTTGTTGCCGATATCAATGATTCGGGCTCCTTAGTTTGCTGTTAGTCTTGCCAAAGTGTGAATCAAGAATTAAAAGTTGATACTATTTACTGAATATTGCTTGTAGTTTAAAGCCAAACCGTTCAGAGGCAATGTCACCCCTCCCCCCCCCTTGCTGCCTGCTTTATTTTTGTAATACAACTTTACTGTGTACAAGTGACAGAATGCCAGTAGATAAAGCATGCTGCCTTTGACTGCCACATTGCATTTTCTCACATTTTGATCTTTATGGGCAAAAGTTGGCCTTGTCTGACTTGTCAGAAACCAGGTTATGTATATCCCATGATTTATTTACTTGCATTGTTTGCACATGTGTTGTCTGGTGTGTTTTACATAAAATTTTGAAAGAAAGTGCATATTAAATTGAAATGAATGAATGAATTTCCTCCTAATTCTACAGAACACTAAGGCGCACTGTAAATAGCTCCCTCACTTAAACTTTTCAGTGGTGAAAGGGGCACGAGAGCGATTGTATGCCTTAAAACCTCAGTGTCTGTTGAAAGGTGTGTTTGTCTCACCTCTGTAAGGCTGCCAATAAAAGTAACAGGTAGGTCTAACAAGATCCCCGGTGTCTAATTGTTCACAAGAGAAGTATCGCATTATAAAGACCATATAGTCTCTGCCAAGTAATATTTGTTCTCTGTATTGTTGTAACTTTAGTTTAACTGTTTGTCGTGCAGGTAACACACCAGAACACGGCCAACCAGGAGTATCTCTTGACATTCCAAAATGGGATCTTTCTGGAGAAGCTGATGAGCCTGTACCGAATGTGTCACGTTGAGGTGCCCCTCTACCCTGCGTGTGAAACGCAAAATCAGAAGTCGGCTTCTAGTGGGGTAGCAGCAAGCCAGTTGTTGGTAAAAGCTCTTCTCACTACCATCAAAGTTCTCATCAATCTCACACACAATTCTGGAAAAGAAGGTACATATAGATGCAGTATTTATTTTCAACTAGGTAATAACTTTATATATTGATGTAATGTGTTGGAGTTTTACCCTGGGACCCCGTTACTGGTGGGTGATCATGGATGATCAGAGGGGAAGGAACAGGGCTGCTTTGAGTCGGGTTAGGCCTGTGGTGCCAGCATCACCCCCCCCCCCCAAATTATTATAGATTTGTTAATTTGTATGCAAGGGGTAAAAAAAAAGATAATAAGTAAATATTAATCATTTCACTTGGAGGCACTCTGAAAGGTTGCACAGTGGCTGTGTCTGGCATCTGCCAACACCCGGTGCTCGACTTTACTGATGCTTCCTGTGTTATTCTTTGATGTTTCACAATGTTTATCACTCGTTTCTCTTTATTTACAAGTGTGTGTGTTGAATAGCTTGATAAATCACATCATTCATAGCACATGATAAAGTTTCAATTGATTGGTTTACCTGGTATGCTCCAGTGGAATTAAGTAGTGAAAAGGATATGAACATAATATTCACTGGTGTTGGGCTCGGATGATGACATATAGCCTAATTGTCATTATATGAGGGAGAGTATAGAGTGAAACAAGCCACCATATAGCACCTACAGATAATACTCGTCATATAATGATAGCCACAATTACCTAGTAACATGACTATGAAATGCTAGCTGGATTTTTTCAAGTGTCACGGTTATCTTCTTGAGATCTTGAGATGATTTCAGGGCTTAGCGTCCCCGAGGCCCGGTCCTCAACCAAGCCTACTTTTTGTTACATAACCCCAGGAAGCAGCCCATAGTAGCTGTTTAACTCCCAGGTATCTATTTACTGCTAGTTGAACAGGAGCATCAGGGTGAAAGAAACTCTGCCAGGAATTGAACCCGAACCCTTAGGACTACGAATCCCAAGCGCTGTCCATTCAGCCATCAGGCCCCCATGTTACATCCTCATCGTAATGGTAAATGGTAATGGTAAACTCATTACATCCACATTGACCTATTTGCATCATGCATGTCAAACCCAGACAGGTTTCCAGGGTTTGTTTTTTCTTGTAATATGTTTAGGACGAGTTACAGCCCCGCTCCTGTGCCAGGTAAGTCCACTATGGGCTCAACATAGCCCGTGCTACTTTGGAACTTTTGTTCTAAGTAGCTGAATCTAAAACAATAACATGTTTAGGATTTATACATTTTGTTAATTTTTCCTCTAATTTTGTTTTCTCTTGTCCCTACAGCTTTAGGAAGTAAATTATTGGGCGACCAGCAAGATGTATATGACATTACACTCTACTGTCTCTTGATCATGCCCAGATACTTGGCACCAGATAAGAGATTCGAGTTGCTCATCTTGGTGAGTAATACATCTAATCATGAAACTAATGCTATACCTTCCTCCATCTTATATTGTAGTTCTGTTATTGAATTAGCAGATGATAATGCCAAGATTTAACCCTTGCACTGCACAACGGGGAAGGGGTGGGGAGTTATTTTGTTTATTGGTGTTAAAATGGCTTCCCTGATCATTGAAAAAAAAATGCAAGTCCTGATATCCTCAATAAATTGTAGATAGTGAAATGGTGAAGTGCCAATGATGGCATCAAACCATGATCACTGCCAAGCAGGGGCTATATTCACGAAGCAGTTGTGCAAGTACTTACGAACGTGTATGTCTTTCCACAATCTTTGACGGCTTTGGTTACATTTATTAAACAGTTTAGGAGCACAAAAACTTCTCAGTTAACTGCTGTTATTGTTATAAACAGCCTCTAGGTACTTCGGAGCTCATTAACTGTTCAATACTTGTAAACAAAGCCGCCAAAGATTGAGAAAAGATGTACAGGTTCGTAAGTGCTTGCGTAACTGCTTGGTGAATCAGGCCCCAGATTCCTGGCTGTGCCACTCCTGCAGGAGTGTTGGATGTGGATGTACACACAGGCTGTTGTGTGCATTTAATATATTGGGTTTTAATTTTATTTTTGTTATGTTTTTCTATTTTTATTTTTTCAGAATGTGTGGAACATCAGTGCACACAAATATTAGTCAGTAATGTGTGCACATTATTATATTCTTGGAACAATAAAACATACTGTACCCTACACGTTATAACTATTCACATGTTAATGCACCTTTACAAAACACTAAGCTGTTCTGATGGGTGTGATAATCTCATAACCAATGATCCAAGTACACCTTAGCCCCATACATTTTGCACAAAGTTTTTAACTACATATATAACTGTTGAAAATCAAAATTGGCTTGATTTTTTAATTTCTAGTGCAGTCATGCATCAGGCTGTCAATAATGTTACTTATATCACAGAACGTGTTGACCATCGGTTGCACAGATATATTCGTGCCACTAATGTGCACACCATAATGTAATAATAGAAAACGAAAGCATTATTTTTGCTGTTATTACACTTTATAAACATTATATATATCAACCTGTTTAGTGGTTTGCGTGTGTGTGGGAACACTTGAGGGAATTATTCTATTGTGAAGATCTGTTGATGCAAGAACTCGAGGGTTTCTCGTCAGCTCAGTTTACCTTGCGTCTTCATGGGAATTGAAGACCCCCCCCCCAATATTTAGGGGTGGGATTACATATACTCTTCCCCTTCCTCCCTGCTGCTCCTCATTACACCTGACCAGTACTGTTACAGACAGGAATGGACAAATTTTGTCATCTGGTGTCATTACATCTATTTGTCTACCTTTGACCAGACCAAAGGTCGTCGTCCCTTCACCTTCTAGTGTGTGGTCTGGTCAAACTACTTCAGCCACGTTATTGTGACTCATCGCCTGCATATTTGTCTACCTGTTTATGTTAGCTTCTAAGCTAGACTGTTTAAAGTAAATTATAGTACAGTATTTATTTTTATTTATTTTTTAAGTGTTTTTAGAAGAATCAGTTTTTTGTTGCTTATTAAATGATATGCACTTTTTTCAGGCTTGTTGTTTACTGCTTAATTTGGTGGAACATAGTAAAGCAAATCGTAATGTGCTAATGAAAACTAAAGCTCCAGACATCTTTGAGGAAGAAGATGAAAGATTATTTTGTGGTAAGTAATGGTAATTAATACTTTTAATCAACATTACATACACCATTATTCGTGTAAATTAGTTGCGAGACATTGCAGTGCCGAAACTAGTCTCGTTGAATTGAAAATAGAATTGACTCGAGAGATTATATTTGAATTAATTTGTATTATAAATAGCTATGCCTGTTTCAAAATGCATATCGCACATTATTCTTGTCTCCATATAGGACCAACAGTAAAAAAGGGTGCGATGCAGGCCCTGATAGAGCTGTTTTATCGTAGCGAGGAGAGTGCACGACAGCAGGAGGCTCACACCAATGAAATCATTGACCACGACCTAACAGAACAGAGCAAACAAAAAGAAGACGAGAAAAAGGAAGATGAGATAGAAGAAACTGTGGCTAAACGTGAGTGGAATGCATGGTTTAAATATTGCTAGAGAGACGATGTCACAAAAACGTGGCCGAAGAAATGGGCACATTTCGGAAGATGGGTTGATACTATAATACAACTTGTATTATAGTACTGTATATAGTACTATATACATGTATTATAGATGATACTATAATAAAACTTGTATTATAGTACTGTATATAGTTCAGTTTTATATAATTTTTAAGTATAGTACTGTATTTTGTGCTTTTTTTTTTTTCAGGAAACGAAAAAGTTTTGTTTTCAGTACCGTACGAATAGTGTACAGAGTTTGTTAATAATATAAAATTAGCCCTTATGTACTGTACTGTACTGTACAGTACTTAGTTTTCTGTAAGTACAATAGGCTTCCACATTATTTTCTCTTCTTTGGTGAACTTCAAAAACAGAACTGTTTGCCTGTCTGATGTTAAATTTATTTAACTTCTCTGATGACAAAAAAAAAAAGACAATGTTACCTGGGGCAATATTAAGCATGGCTCACCATAGATTTATAATACACTCAAATCCATGTGTATTAATGGCAATATTGGCCTTTGCACATTACTTTATTGGTACACTTGACCAATACTATGGCATAAGAGAAGCTTTTATTATTTTTCCCATTTCTACCATATAATTTGTTATAATTTTTGAAAGTTTTTTCTCAGTAATAGACTTTTTAGTAGGAAGTGAAGAGTAGAGGTGCCATAGGCACAAGAGAGCATGAACATCAGAGGTCCATGGCTGATCAATATCCTCCCAGCAAGCACAAGAAATATTGGTAAAACATAGGTGGACCTGATCAAGAAAAGATTATACAAGTTCCTGCAAGAAGTGCCAGATGAACCGGGTTGTAGTGGATGTATGGGCCTGCAGGCCACTCGAGCAACAGCCTGTTGGATTGTGTTATCAGAAATATTTTTCTGTGTTATCAGAATGTGGTTATCAGAAAGCCTGGCCCCAGGCTGGGCTTGGGGAAATAAAAGAACTCCCAGAACCACCCACTCCAGGTTCATTACTAATCCCCCCCCCCTCCCCTCCCCATCCCCATCTTACCCCTAACGCCAAATATCCTTGCTTGGCGATTACAAGAAAAATTTAATTTTCAGTTTGAGAATTGTTTATGATCAAGATCTCGTTTCTTTTTCAGTGCTACAAAAAGCTGGACATCACATGGAGGACACGCTCATAGCGGCATACACCGCCCTACTTACCGGGTACTGCATAATGGAAGACGAGGCATGTACCAACACTTGTTCTTAGTTCGTGGGGTATTACTATTTGTGGTATTGCTCTTATATTGAATTAATACATTCAAATAATTGACATTTCAAAATGACACATTCTAGGGTTCGTTAACACTTCAGACCCGTCGACACATACCCATCCGCTAACATTCTGGACATCTCAAGGCCCCACTCAATAGCACCTAAAATTTGTATACTCTCTCTTTTTAAACTTTTCTAAGTTTTGGGTTATAACTCTAAATTTGGTGTCAATGTTCAGAAATGAATTTGCTGGAGTATAGCTGCAAAACAAAATGTGTATTGATAATAGAGCAGTCATGACTGGCCTGAATATATGAATGTTTATGAACATTTTAACATTCTTCATATATTAATCAATTTATTTTTCAACATAAAAAAGAAATATGGGAATGTACATTCATAACTGGTCTGTAATTATATATATATAAAGAAAACAAGCATAACTTTCATACTTATCGGGCAGATACTTTTCAAAACATTGTGAAAAAAACTTTCAAGTAGAGTTTTTGCAGTAAGTCGGAGATCACTCAAGACTTAGTCTTGAGTAGTCTCTGGGTGGTCCCCCTAATCAACTATGTCCACTCTTAAAAAAAAAATTGACATTTTTGGGAATTTGGAGATAGATGGCATCATGGGTATGTTTACTGCAGAGGTACGGATGACACGTCAAAGTCATTGTCAGAATGCTAACGTGTCAAGATGTCTTTGAATGTAATTTTTATGTTTTGGTGTTCCTAATAATATATTTGTAAATCATTAGTTGGGAAAGTAGTTTGGGTGAAAGAGGTGGTAGCTTAATTTGTGTATAACAAAAGAAGCCTAGAGTTCAGATTGAAGCTGTACAGTAAATGATTAGATTTTGTATTTCTCCATAATTCATTAGTGATACATTGCCCCTGAGGAGCATTGATACATACTTGATTTGATATTGTTTCAGGAATGTGAGGCACAGATTCGTGCCATGCTTCCTGAGGCTAACTTTAGCTTAATGGTGAATGTCTTGAAGAAGTTCCTTCGCTTCATGGACTTGACAGCCTCTGTAAGTTGACAGTTTCTGATTGATTTATATCTTTGATGCAATTATCTCAAAATTATGGTAAAGGTAGCTGTGCCAAAATGTATATACTGCATTGGTGGTGCTCCCAATATTATATTTTGTTGCTTTGATAGAACATTTTGCATGAGGTAATTCCATTTTTTTCCTTACACTTTGTGATAGTAGAATCAAGGAAAAGAAGCTTGGCTGCATCACGTGACCTTAGTCCATGTTATAAGGAATTATTATTTTTTTAACTCGCTGTAATAACATTTACTACATCAAAACAGGCATCTAGACCCAAAAAATGCTGCCCTCTATGACAACAATAAAATGTTGCCCCATACAGTAATGCTGAAATCGGCAATTTTGCTTCCTGCAAACCCTCGTAACTATTTCTAAAAATGTTTGTACTTAAGGTATACTACTGTGTGATTTGCATGATGTAACAGGTTGTGTACAGGAGAAATTGGTCTACTGTGTAATGAGTAGTTTACATTAATTAATAATATTTCGTAGAATTATTCAAGTCTTACACAGACAGTGAGGCTGGTGTCGTAGGCTCTAGCTGGATTAGTTTCATATCTAGATTCAACATTACTTTTCATTTCTTAGTGAAGGTTGAGCTGCAGAATGCCTGGGAAATGCCACGATACAATAACATCGGAAATGCTTTGAAATTACGCTTTGCGTAATTTCATGCTTTAGGCATTGTATGTACTAGCTCTATCTATAAAGCCAACAAACTTTGTAAAATCTCTATGTATGTACCTTTACCTAAATAAAAATTATTATTATTATTATAAATGTGTTCATAACACAAGATTACTGGGTCGTTACAGGCTTAGAGGAGCTCTTATTTAGCATTCCGTCGGTTCAGACGATCGGATTGGAGACCAGTATTGGGAGCCTCATATACTGGTCCGGCAGTTGATAAAACCGTAGGTCGGTATTGAGTTTGTTTTGGCATCGGCACGCCCTCACATGTAAGCAATGACTGACCTCGATCGTCTGGTCATAATTAAAATTGTAAATACTTTAAAAAGAATTCAGTTTAATCCTTAGGCTGCAGTCAACGTCAACTGTCGAGTCACAAGGTAATGCTGTTATCATCATATGAAGAGTTAAATGATTATTGTCAGGGTTTTACATGTATGGTGCAAATATAGATGTAATAGTTTACTTTGACTTACGGAGGAGAATCCTGCTACCATTTCATGGTACGAATGCAGTTATCATGAGTGTTACTAGGGGGAATGCGGTCGTTGCCATACGATGATTTAAACAATTATCTGGATTTTACATAGATGATGCAGATATGTATATAATAGCTCTCCATGGATGTCAATAAATAAAAAGTAATAAAAACAATGAGACATCCGAGGATAAAATAGGAAGCGTCGGCAAAGTGGAACACCTGGTGTTGACAAGTGCCAGATGCAGCCTTGCAAATACCTCCACCCAGTGAAGTGATAAATATCCACTTTTGTGTTTTTCTTAGTGTGTATACTAGTTATAATCCTATAATGGAAAAATTGTTTAGGAAGTTTTTATTTTTTTGTGCATAGGCGGGTATGACCCCTTTCTCCATAGCCACTGTCTAAGGGTTAATGAAGCTAATTACAAATTACTAGTAAGAAAATATGTACTGCAATTATTGGTAATGCCTCACCAGTTATTGATGAGGCATTGGTTACTGCACTACAGTTATTGTTAATATGTTGGTTACTGTACTAGACATGTTAATTCTTTTTACTCATAATGTTACAATATATTTTCTGTTTCAGACAAGCCTTTTACGGAGCCTGAAGCCCACAGAACGAGTTGTAAAATATATGGAGAAACTAGATGCCAGCGAAGAAGAAGCAGAAGCAGAAATTGAAAGAAAAAAGCAAGAAGCCAAAGAAATGGAATTTGACGCTTTTGGTTTTTAAGGCCAGGAACAATTGCCTCTCATCAACTTCTGCTCATAGGAAATTTATTTTCTCACGTTTATAAATTCAAACTCCTTCATATTTGAGACTTGGAATGTGTGTTTGTCTTGAGGCATTGTGACTTAAACAAATTATTCAAAACATGAGGTTTTTTTTGGATTGTTGAAATTAAAGTTTCCATTAATCGGTGGAATCTTTGTACCAGAAAAATACGAAGTATAACTTACAGGATGGCACAGCACAGCCTTATCTGGTCTAAAATAAGTATAAACTATGCCAGTTTCTCTTCCTCCTGGAATTTGTCTGTGGCGCCAAGAGTACAATTTGCATTTTTCTCCCATGCATCTAATGGTAGCTTAGGGTAGTTAGTGCAGTTCACTGCAGTGTCCTTTACTCTGCCATTCACTCTTTTACTGGCCAACCAAAACCAAAGATAGCTGCACCTGAGCTGCCCTCTGAGGCTTCACAATGATGGCTTGGGCAGAGTTGTGTTAGAAAAGATCCTGCGGCGAGGAATGTCAATCCGGGAGCGCAGAGACGTGTAGCTGGTAGCGTTATTCTAGTGTGTAGTATAATAGTGTCTTTTTACAGTTTTAAATCTGAATTCCTGTAGAATGACAGAGACTATTTTTTTGCCAAACAGAATTTTCTGTACATGTCACTTATGCAATGGTGACTTGGTTCCTTATTGAGAGAACTCGCTCATAAACTCGGGATGCCTAACTTGTGCTGCTACCCTCTCTAGATAGTCTGAACATTCAATAGTATCATAGTAAATATTTTGATATACTTGCATGATAAAACTACTTCAGATGGATGACAAACAGTAGGACACCCTGGAAGTTTAGTGGTAGTGTAGTGGGTTGGTAACCGGTGACGCAGTGCGTTCTCCCAAAATAAGGACCCAAGGACTGCATGTTTTTAATGGGTGCATTGTTTTTGCTTGATACAAAATGGATTCTGCACTCCTTTGCATGAGCAAGATAAGTGAACTGCGGTGTGAGTGTCCAGAAGTACAGGATCTTCAGAAAAATTCTACCAGTGACCTGATTTTTTTAGTGATGGAGTGCATTCATGTCAATAAGGGTTATTTTATTTCTACTTGTGTGATAGTTGAGTATGCATGCTGTTATCATTGTCTCCTACATTTCCACAAACCATATGACCCTGTTTTTCTATTTGCACCTGATGTGTATATATTTAATGGGTTCCAAGTGTGAGCCAATAATTCCTTTTATGTAGTAACCTCCCAGAGATCTCAGAATATAATATTTTATGTTGATTATTTCACCTGCCTTTTTATATTTTACCCTGTCGGTACTTTACATTGTGTAGTTGCTCCTCGGCAGTTTACAATCGGTTATGATTGTCGTGGCATTTATGCCATTGTTACACACAAGGGGGGGGATGAAGGGGTGACATGTTTATTTTCTCTTGTTTTCATTTTTGATCATATTGTTAGTGCCAATTTTCACACAGAATTTTCACATTTTTCTTGCTCATAAATTTAGAGCAAAATTTCTTTGATTTTTGGAAGGTAATTGAGAGTGGAAAGCTAATATTCAGTACAGTATATGATCATTATCATTCATTATTGTAATTATTTACTTCTTTTTATGAGAAATCTCAATATTTTGTAAACTATAACTTGCAATAAATGCAATTTTGAACGTGGAAAACTCGGTGTTAATACTGTATATAAAATTGACAAGTTTGATATTTACTGAAAATGGGGTCATTACGAAGCATGTTTGTGATCCAAAGTAGAAAGTATGGTTTCTAAGAAAAAATCAAATGAACAAGTAATGTATTTTGAGAGGAACATGTCTTATGAAATTTGGTTAGTGGTTTGCGTAAACAAAAAAAATTGTCCCCGAAATCTAAACTCTTGCTCACATACAGGCATTTCATAATCTGCTTCTTGAAATTTGAAAAGCCTCTAAAAGTTGAGGAAAGGTCTTTGAGGCATCACTTGTATATCAACGCTGGAAGAGACTCTTGGAAAGATATTTGTATTGCTCCGTTGTGCTCGGAACACTGTAAATGATTGGTCACTAAACGTGTGCGTATTGTGTGTCTTCAGGATAGCTAATGACTTTTTAACTTAAATAGATTAATTTTTAAGCTTGGAGTTACTGTATTATGAATATAACAAATTTAATGGGTTTTAAAGCTGAGTTCTCACGACAACTACCAAAGAGAACGGTGAAATGCATACACTTTTAATGTGCTTGATTTTGTTTGCATTTCCGTATAATAACAATAACATAACTGGTTCAATGCTCTTTTTATCAATTTGCTTAATAAGTATTTAGAGAAACAAAATTTTAAAGTGTAGCTAAGATTAACATTGTTTTTTCATAATAGATACATCAATAGCTTTCTTTAATCACAGATGTGTACCTGGTGCAGTAAAACTGTGTGTGTGAACTTAGTCACTCATTTGACTGACTTAAAATTCAACATGTGTTTTATTTAACACATTAAAATTGTTAATTCAATATTTGTTAAATCTTAAATATCTGCTGCTGCTTTTTTCTATCTCTTAATTATTTTTTTTTTTTTTTCACCTTTCTTGTTAGCACTTTCACGTTCCTACGTCGTCCACTGATTTTACTTGATAAGGCCGACGAGGCATTATTGTTTTTTTTATTATGCCTGTTATACGATAGTGCATTTCATTATGCCAATAAATCATTAATGCACATCCCAATACAAAGTCATTGTTTTACTAAGCAATATTTATACGTCATACTTGTACTATGACATCTCCTGCATCTTACACACCGAAATCAACGTTCAAAACCTATAAATAGTTTGTTTGCAAAGGGGTATAAAGCTTTTGACATTGCACCACATACAGTCGATTGCTCTGCTCACGCACTATGGCTCGCCTGCAAAATTTGTTGAATAAATATTAAAGTAATATGTTTCCGAACAATGATATAGATTCCTCGGTTGCGCACATATAAACAAGATAATATTATATACAGGTATATAGGGGTACATTGTACAAATCTTGATCGTTGTTTGTATAGTGAGTGGTGTCTTGCACACCACATATTGCCACATTTTTGTTTGTGCCTTTAGCAAGAAGCATTAATTTCCAAACACTTTAATACCAGTCATTGTATGAAGTAGGTGTGATTTAAGTCATTTTTAGATCTTCCTACAACATTGTAGATCAATACAATAGCATTGTAGATCATTTTTTCACAACGAAAAAAAAATTAACATAATAGTAATATTATAATTGAAAAGGTGTACAATATGAAAATGCTTATTAATTCTTAAAAGCAACATTCTTAACACCCAACATTATATATATTTTACTTTATAAAGCCTCACATACCTGGTATTGTTAATCAAACACATTAATTTTCCAATATTTTGATACAAAATTCTACAAACTGTTCGTATATTAAGCTCGTTTCCAATTTTATTAGATATGTATCGTTCAAATAATTTTCAGTCTGGCTACTGTGATAGAATTTTGATGTTATGAACATTTCTACATTATGTAGAAATGTGAACTTTTGCAATCTCGGCAGTATCTCCTACACCTGACATTGCTTATCTAATTTGTTTGTGCCTGTACGAAAAAATATTAATTTTTTTAATGTAATTTTTTAATGTAACTGAGCAGCAGCCAAAATGAGAGGGGTTGGGAACTGTGTTCAAGATGAGAAAATGTGACCCCCCAAACCCCCCCAACCCTTCAGAACGTGGAAGTGTTATTGAGGATTTTAGTATCTCGTTTCTATCATACTGTAATTAACCAATTTTATTACAAATTATAAAGCAGTGTACCACTATTGTTTTTAAGCATCCTGTGTGAATGCATGAAAGTGGGTGTCTTTACTTCAAATGTCGGTGGCCAGTGGTTTCTAGTTACTTGCATGCTAATAGCTTCTACTATCTGTACAAGTGGCCAGGTTCTATATTCTTGTATCTCTACAAAATAAAATTAATATATGTTGAGAGCATATATACTGTACAGCATATACTATTGTAAGAGTGAATTTGTTCAAGTTAAACTGCAGAATTGAGGGGATTTATGCATTTCATTGTTACGAACCTCACGTATTTTTAAGAATATGGTAATAACATTGCAGTGTGCAATATATTTATATCCTTAGAATTGTGATTTTAAATTTTTTCTGTGATCCTCATTAACACTGTTTGGAGGAATTTAAAACAATTTTAATAAAGTTTGGTTCAGTTTGTATTTTACATGTACAGTACTACTGTATTGGTGTATTGGAATACTGCAATGTTAATTAAATTAAAGTGGCTTTTCATGAGTTGGCAGAGTTCCTAACTACATGAAGACTTAATAGTCTACACGAGTAACTGCAATCTCAAGGATGGTAGTTGGGGTACGTGTGGAAGAATTGTAATTGAGAAAGCTTTGGTTTAACCCCGGAGTACAGTGGCACCTCGAGTAACGAGTAAGCCACTCGCAGAACATTTGTCTCTACTAACGAGCTTTTCCTCGATTAACGAGCGTTTCCGCTGGTTCTCGGATACCTTTTACGACAGTTTTGTTGTTTCGCAAGACGAGTTTTCCACATGTTTGGTGCCGGAACGGATTAAACTCGTTAATCGAGGTGCTAATGTAGATGGAAGTCACGATATCTGCTAACTTGTGGAAAACCAGAAAGCGTGCAAATATCTAAAGTTATTTATAAATTTTTTTTAAAGAAATAAGCATCTATATTGGAGTTTGCACGTGTGTTAGGAATAACTAAATCCCTGTGATTGTGTAAATGAGTGAGCAAAGTTTAATTTAATAGCTTGTGCTGGCACGCACATTCCTCTCGTTATCTGTGTTATGAGAAACGCCAGTATTAAGCAACTGTCAAGGCAGGTTAGCGTGGGTACAGTGTATGTGCAAGGTATCTTTTTCACTCTAGATCTTCAGTTTGTCTTTTTTGTGTTCATTTTAAGGGATAAAAGTTCTTTATATGTATATTTGTTAAATGGTATATTTGTCATTCTTGTTCCATGATAATCCCTAGAAGGGAAAATCTTGGCATACTTTCCTTCTCAAAATTATTTTACATTTGTGAGAAATTTAGTATGAAATACTTCATTCATGCATCAATTTTGAAATGAAATAGCTTTGGCTATTTGAAATATCGAGATATTGGTTAGTGAAGGTAAGATCCCAACTTGCAGTTGACTTAAGCTGGTGTCTATTCCTGTCAACTACAAAGGAACTAGGTAAGACAACATGTTGAATATTTTACTGACAGATACAATATAAGGGAAGGGGGGGGGGGATGGAGGGGTTCCCTGTGAATCATGGTCTTCATGTCTTTCTATTTTGGGGGTCAAAGGTCTTTTCACATCATTGTAATTTGTCCCACCTGGTGTCGTGGACCCCGGGGAAGGGAAACCCTGTAATGAAATATAAAAGTTAGATATCACACACATGTTTTAATTTACATAGGTTAGCTAGAATTATTTATATTATTTATATTTCTAGGTGATAATGGGTCCAATAGTGTTACTCTTACATTGGAATGTGGATAAAGCATTGGCACACGTAGATATAAAATGGGTTGTAACCCCTGGTCTTGGCTACCAGTATATTCCAGCTAGTAGGTCATTTCCGGGCTTGGATGTCTTTCACTTGGGAAGATCAAAATTTGCATTGATAATTCCTTTTCTTTTTTTAAATTAAATATTTTTATATTTTTAATGGTATTGTTTAGTAGATTGGTTGGCTTAAGTTGCCTGCTGAAATACCACCAAGGGTGAAATAAAAACCTATTAATTTATCTTACCTAGTTATTTTCTTTAGTCATGTAGCATGCCTTTTGGTGGCTTCGAAAAACAATAGTTTCCGTAAACAAACTATTCTTGTGTCTGCTATTTAAATTGGAAATAGTACATTTGTAAGCACTGCAAAATGGCATGTGTATTTGTTGTAAATTGAATGTAAATGTCATCAAAGTTAACATGAACTATGGTGTTTGACCTTGATTAGTGGTAACCCTAGCAAATGCAAGCTGGTCTGCCACTATGACGTATTATCTAAACTATACCACACCATTGCCTTTATTAAATGTTCATCTGTATACTTTTTAGTATTGCACTAGATGAACTACACCCTTTGGAAGATGCTTGGCACAGCAGGTGCTGGTCATTGAACGTTTACTTGTAATGAACGTTTATCTGTATTGAACGTTTACACTTGCAAGCAAGTGCTTCTAAGTGAATGGTCCTCCATAGGAAGCCTTGTTTTGAGGGCAGTAGAAAGTGAATGGTTTCCCCAGTGTTGATCCTCGTCTATTCACTATTCTCTCTCCTTCCTCTTCACCTCTGTATTGCTTTTGTAATAATGCTGTTTTCTCCATTAAGTAACTTGTCGAGACTTGTACCATTTTGTATTTGTCACAAATTGTCTTTAAATTACGGAAATTCTATTTCTTTTAAAAATGTAATTGCAATCACGCAGTGTCAATGCTAGTGTGAGGTAGAGGATGGCCGTCTCCACTACAGCTTGCAGTAAAAAACATTATATCCCAGAAAGCAATACCATTTTCAGTATGATACAAGATAACAAAAACAATAACACATCAACACTATGATTGGTTGTGAAAACAATGGAACAAGGGAGGTATGCACAGAAATTGCCTTATGAGTTAAAGCATAAACACACCACCCAGCTAAAAAAACATTTGAAATTAAGGCAGATATTGTAATATGTATGTATAGTGTTTAAAAACACAAAATTATGCATGCATACGTGGATAATGTGGGCAGAAGATCTCAAGAGGTCACTGCTTATATATCAACACTGGAATTTTTGTTTTTGTTACATTTTGGTCATTTTACACCTTGCAGTTTGGTCATGACGCTTTGGCTTCGGAAAGTGCAATGTTATATCCTCATTATTGAGAGTTGTGCCATATTGAATCCACTTGCAGTTCCCTATCCATTTGTTACATAAATAAGTGATGGCCACCCTGCATTCTCAAACAACATACCCAGCTCAGAGACATGGCGTCAACTACAATGATGCTTGGCAGATGCACTCTACCCCATTTTCCTCTGTCTCTACAATCATTTTCCATTTCTTTGCTCTAATTCTGGCTGTTTCTTATCTCTGGCAGATTTAAGAGTCGAATTTTGTAAGGTTCCCAGCCATATTTGCAATTACTGTACCTAGAAGGAACTTTTGGATACCGCTGCCAAGGAGAACATTTGTACTTGCAACATTTCCTGGAAAGGGATTTCTTATTTGGATTTCTACTAGGCCATCCAAGCTGCACTCTGCGTCAGTGTGGATGGTTATTACAGGTAATAAACTGTATGCTCTTAAAAAGTGACCTTGCCCCTTCACCCATAATAAACTACGGGAAATGGCTTTAGCTAGATTACATATCTGCCACTTCCTCTTTACTCGTGGTAACTTAATGGAACAATGTCCTCCTTGTTATCCAAACTGCATTGTCCCACTTAGTTGTGCACCTTGTAGAATATCCTGAGTTTCAGGATAATTGTACTGTGTCTTGCTTTCCTAGAGGCCATTTGTCCCTCTGTAGAATCCTTGGTGAAGCTGATACCTTGGATAATGCTTGTTTTGTCTTTTGTTCTCATATTGGCATCCTCAGTGATATTTAGCTCCTTTTGAATATCCAACAACACTGATAGTGCTACATATTCTTCCAGACTTTGTACCTTCTTTTGATAATTACTTCCATGTTATTGTGATAGCCTTTGACTGAGGTGCCTGTATCTCCTGCTTGATGGGGTTCTGGGAATTGTTCTACTCCCCAAGCCCGGCCCGAGGCCAGGCTTGACTTGAGAGTTTGGTCCACTAGGCTGTTGCTTGGAGCGGCCCGCAGGCCCACATACCCATCACAACCCGGTTGATCCGGCTGATCTGCTGCTACACCCCAATGTCCTACTGGGAGTGACCCTTAATGCCCCCACGTTACCCTCGACATGCCCAGCCGGTCTAAACCCCGCTTCCCTCATTGCCTAGTTGGGGCTCTATCTACAGTTCACACTTGTCCTTCCCACTTCGGTTTAGCCGCCCTTCCGCACCGAGTCACAGCTTGGTGATTCTTCTCTGTCGCTCCCAGCATCATTCGCCACCTGAACCTGATTATATCAACTACAATGAGATCACACACTTTCTACTTTGTACCACCCATCTTCCAGACAGAAACATCCAGATGTCTTGTCTTCTCCCTTAAGGGGCAAGGAGGTGCTTGTCTCAAACACCCTTGTTCTGGATCCTTGTTATATAGTGTCTTGGCGGTCATTGTAGCACTACTGATTCTTTAATGCAGAATAAGTTTCCTTTTCTTCCTTTACATCAAATATTCATTCTGCCACCACTCGTATATTCCTGATTAAATGGTCTACTGTCTGTTCTCTTGATCTTCCACGTCAGATTGATTTCTATAATGAATGAATTTTAATTTGATTCTTTTTTCTTTCATGCACTGGTTCTCTTTTTAAGTGAATTTTTAACTGGAAATACACTACGGTATTAGGCTAGTCCATTACTGATACCCATGGTCATCGTTTTGGAACTATTTATTTTTTATTGATGTGGCTTTTGAACACTGGCAAACGTAGAATCGTTCACTCGCCTTGACCTCTATAACACCCACCATTTTTTCGTTATGAACCTAGTGCTACATAGCCTTCCCGGTTTGGTGCCTTCTTTTGATAATTCTTTTTCTCACATTTTTCTTTTTCCTCAGGTGGCATGCTAACAGTGGATTTTAATGTTGTATTCTTTTGCCTGTATTCACTGAACGACGCATCTTCTCGTTCTTCGATCCCCCTCTGCTCTTGTAGCTGATGATGGCCTGTACTCCATCCAGTGGTATGCTCCCCAAAGCTGAGTGAAGTGTATTCTTGAGTGGAGTTGATGCTCTGTGCCTGACACACAGAAATCACAATAGCGTGATGCATCAAATGAACAAATCCACAAGGGCCGTGACGAGGATTCGAACCTGCGTCCGAGAGCATCCCAGACGCTGCCCTAATCGAGTGAGCTACGACATAAGCAACGTCTGGGATGCTCCCGGACGTAGGTTCGAAGCCTCGTCACGGCCCTTGTGGATTTGTTCGCTCTGTGTCTGCATTGTATGCTGTTAGGGTGCAGCCTGAAAGACTCACATAATCCAGATAACAGCGGACTCCTTCATTTTATGTAAGAACGCCAATGCTGTGCCCCACAGGAGCAATTATGCCAAACAGGGGAGACGTTGCTGTTTTAAAAAAGTAAATTTAAATTTAACGTTGCTGTTCTCAGGTCTCCACTGTCAATATTAACCTCCACAATTCCCGGTATACGTGCAAAGATTCACAAGCTTGCTGGTAAAATTCATTCTTTTGGGGATATGGGGTTAGTTTAGTTCATTTATTATGCACCCCATACCCATCTTGTGGGCGGTAGTGGAAAGGGTTACAGAGGTACATAATGGGCTCAGGGACTGAACCCCACAATTCATTTAGCTAAGCAAGTTACAATCTTGATGAGCTAGTTACAAAATTCAATATAAGTCGTCACATCAACAATGGGTTCGAGATCGACCTCAAGTACAGGTTCTAAATTAAGCAACTGACATATGTGGAGAGCTAGTGTCAAAATTTATGTTTGTCCTGCACACCGCCCCCCATCCAGTGGGCAGCGGTGGATAGGTTACAATCACTTAGTTACTACCTACAGTTAGCAAACTGGGGATATTTGGCTAAAATTTCTGGTAGAAATATATTTGGCTAATCTCACCCAAATTATGAGGATAGCTTGAGCTACCTCATCCCTTTTGTGTGCGTGTATACCTCCATAAACTGATCTTAGTTTCCATTGCTGCCCTCGTCACTGACGCATCTATGAAAAAATAGCGCTTACGGCAAGCACTGAAATAGCGCCCCTGTTAAAACTTCCAACACCATATCTCAGATATTACGGGCTCACCATAGCCCGTGCTACATGGACATTTCGTTCTCAGTAGCTAAATCTAAAACAACAACAACTATCTCTGATATCTTTACCGTAAAATAGGCTAAAAAATACCAGTCAAGTTCGTTAACCTTTTAATTGACAAATTATGACACTACATGAAAATTACAACTGAACCTTCCTTGCTTTCACTGATGCAAATTAGTCCAAGATTTTCCAGTTTCTTCTCTACACTTAGCAGAGCAATATGACAAGTCTGGCCTTGACCTCGTGGAGGCTCTCCTTGAGGTGCTTCCGGGGCTTAGCGTCCCCGCGGCCCGGTCCTCTACCAGGCCTCCTGGTTACTAGACTAGTCAACCAGGCTGTTGGATACGGCTGCTCTCAGCCTGACGTACGAATCGCAGCCTGGTTGATCAGGTATCTCTCAAGTACAAACGTGTTAGATCTAACTTGATGAATGGTCTGTCATAGCTGGCGAAGGAACCTCATTACAACACTGGTGGCCAGCCATTACAACACCGGTGGCCAGCCATTGCAACACTGGTGGCCAGTCATTGCAACAAAGATGTCAACCCAATTTGAGTGATCATATATTATAAAGATATAAATATGCACTTGGGCTGTTCGAACCTGTTCATTCTCGCGCCTACTCTTTCCCGTAACTTACTGACGCACCCCGAACCCGGGTCTGGCAACATGCAAGTCCACGTCTGCAGGTCCGGCAGGAATACATTAATCCCACATTCAGGGCCTCTTTATTCTTGGGTTGTTTTGTATAATGATGTGTGAGGAGACATGACTTTTTTCCGAGTGGTGACACATTCTTGGGCACCGGGAGCCGAGCGGACAGCACGCTGGACTTGTGATCCTGTGGTCCCGGGTTCGATCACAGGCGCCGGCGAGAAACAATGGGCAGAGTTTCTTTCACCCTATGCCCCTGTTACCTAGCAGTAAAATAGGTACCTGGGTGTTAGTCAGCTGTCACGGGCTGCTTCCTGGGGGTGGAGGCCTGGTCGAGGACCGGGCCGCGGGGACACTAAAGCCGCGAAATCATCTCAAGATAACCTCAAGAAGATAACCGTTTTGGGGGCCCCATCCTCTGGGATGATTGTGTTCTTCACATGATGATTATAGGTCTATTGCCCTAATAAGTTCACATCAGGTGAAGAACTTATGATGTGAGGGATGTGAAGAACACATCCCAGAGGGATGTGTTCTTCACGTGATTGTAGGTCTATTACCCTGATAAGTTAGGGACCCTCTGGGAACTTTTATGTTCTTCACGTGATTGTCTATTGCCCTGATAAGTTATATCTACAAATTAATGGAAGACAGACGCTAATAATTCCCGTTTGTCGTAGACAGGAAGACTGTACAGGAAGGATTCGAACACTAAGACTGATCATCGGGGTCCCTATACCTCAAGGCTAACTATCTGATGTTCCCCAGAATTCAACCCACAAGACTATAGCCTAATTCCCGCGTACATGTTTCACTTTAGGTGAACAGAGGCATCAGGTGAAAGGGTAAGTGTTTCTGTTTTCACTGGGGATTGAACCCTGGGTCTCTAGTGAGCTGATATAATCTTGATATCTTTTAAGGATCCTGCCGAGTCCTTATATAGCTTTTTATATATATATAAGAATTTATATATTCTGATGTTTCAGCATCTATATAATTAATTAAATACCTGTTGGTACTGTATTTGAGTACATTGAACTGTCACAGCTTCATTGTTAATCATTGTTTTGTTTACAAACATGTTTAAGATGCCTTAAAAACATTTAAATGTTTGTTCTTGTATTGAGTGGTATGGCGGCCCGGGGCACCTCAGTGTCTCTGTGACTGTGGTCGCGGGTGGATGTGTTGCTGGAGTCCTCCTGCTGCCCCTGTCGCCTGCTCCAGCTATAGTCCCATATCCTAAGCCTGCAAATATATAGTAAGTATAGGCCTACTACTTGCCGCTAAATACCCTTTATTTGAGTTCATTCATAATGTACTACATACCATAAATAACCGATAGTTAAAATCTATATAGGTAATCAATGTATTCCTTATATGAAATGCGAGTAAACTGCTTAATTAAAAAATCCATATTCATATTTTAATTAAGGATAAATGCCTGAGTGTTTTGGTAAATAGCAAGTTATCTAGCATTTAAAATGGCATTGACAGCTGCAGGATAATGGTCCCTTCAAATATGCAATGTCCATGTATGTATATATGTGTGGGGGGGGGGGGGTTACTACTATTATTCACCTAGTTGTGCTCTCGGGGGTTGAGCTTTGGCTCTTTGGTCCCGCCTCTCAACTGTCAATCAACAGGTGTACAGGTTCCTGAACCTACTGGGCTCTATCATATCTACACTTGAAACTGTGTATGGAGTCAGCCTCCACCACATCACAGCCTAATGCATTCCATCCGTTAAACTACTCTGACACTGAAAAAGTTCTTTCTAACGTCTCTGTGGCTCATTTGGGTACTCATTTTCCACCTGTGTCCCCTTGTTCGCGTCCCACCCGTGTCCCCTTGTTCGCGTCCCACCCGTGTCCCCTTGTTCGCGTCCCACCCGTGTCCCCTTGTTCGCGTCCCACCCGTGTCCCCTTGTTCGCGTCCCACCCGTGTCCCCTTGTTCGCGTCCCACCCGTGCTAAATTGTTTCTTTATCTCCTTACAGGTAAGTAGACCCTGTCAGTTGCTATGAGAATTTTGTATGTGGTGATCATGTCTTCCTTGACTCTGCGAGGTTTAATTTCAGTAGCCAGTCCTCGTAACTCATACGTCTCAGCTCTGGGACTAGTCTGGTGGCATACCTCTGAACTTTCTCTAAGTTCATCTTGTTTGACTAGATACAGACTTCAGGCTGGAGCTGCATACTCCAGGATTGGTCTGACATAAGTGGTATACAAGGTTCTAACTGATTTTTTTCACGTTTCTAAAATTAGTTCTTATGTTGGCCAACCTGGCATATGCCGCTGATGTTATCCGTTTGATGTGGACTTCAGGGGATAGGTTTGGAGTGATGTCAACCCCCAAATCTTCCTCTACTTGATTCTTGAAAGACTTCATCTCCAACCTCCTGCTCCCTACACCTATTTTAGAAACTTTACACTTGGGGTTAAACTCTAGTAACCATTTGTTGGACAATTCCTTTAATTTGTCCAAGTCATCTTTTAGTCCCGTAGAGAGGATGAGAAACCAGGATGATGGATGAGAGTAAAGTGATCACTTTACTTTCCATGTCTTGCTCATTACCCGCACAAAGATAGTCTACAGATACAGGCGAGGAGTCACAATAACGTGGCTGAAGTATGTTGACCAGACCACACACTAGAAGGTGAAGGGACGACGACTTTTCGGTCCGTCCTGGACCATTCTTAATCGACTTGAGAATGGTCCAGGACGGACCGAAACGTCGTCGTCCCTTCACCTTCTATTGTGTGGTCTGGTCTACAGATCAGAACTGGGTCTCCCACCAGGCTTGAATCAATATGCCACATCGGGGCCACATCAGTGACATTCCCTCTGGCTCCCTCATCAACACTCCGCATTATGCCTTGGCTTGTCGTGCTCCACTTTCCGCTGTAGTTTCCGGTTGCACGCGGTCATTGAAGTTACCGTCAGCCTCTCATAACTGCCGGAAACTCTTAAGAGAATCCGGCTTATACTGGCTTTGCAGTATTGCCGCCAAGTTCACCATACACAGCCCATACATACAAACTCAAATGCTTCCGCTGGCCTCATACTTCGAGAGAGCCTAAGTGATTCCTATGTAATTCGGTCACAACAAGGGAGGCTGGGAGGGGGTAAGGGGATGTAAGGGGCTTGGAGGTAATGGGTAGAAGCAGGTGAGGGATAGGGGATAGAGGCGAGGGGACGCCAGGCGAAGATAGTCTCCACACAGTTGGAAGATGGTTATTAGCGAAGAGATCCACAATTGCCGTGACGAGGATTCGAACCTGCGTCAGAGTCCTCGTCACGGCCCTTGTGGATTTGTTCATTTGATGCATCACGCAATTGTGATGTCTGTGTGGTTATTGACGAGTTTCTTTAGTGCTGTTATGATATTGATTATTGAACAAATCCACAAGGGCCGTGACGAGGATTCGAACCTGCGTCCAAGAGTGTGTGATATTGATTATTGTTATTGTTGGGGGGTAGAAGGCGTGGTAGCCAAGGTGAAGTTGATGTGGTGATGGTTGCTGTGGCAGCGAGAGTGGTGGAGGGTGTTGGGGTGGTGCTGATTATTAATTAATGGGTTGACAATGGGTGATCGGGCTCACCATAGCCCGTGCTACATGGACACTTCGTTCAGAGTAGCTAAATCTAAAACAACAACAATGGGTGATCGGTTTCATGGACGCCTTCTGGAGGCCACATAATTAAACTCGACAATTCGTTTCCTATCTATTGGTGTCGACACCCCCGCCCCCCCCCCCCCCCTGAAAGATTCGAGTGTACTTCAGAATTATTCACAAGTGTTCAATTTGTTCTTCATACATATTCGACTGTTCTACCTTGTTCTGAACATAGACATTCTGGGATTCTATTACACCCTTAGTACCTAATGGTAGCTCAGATACCATAGCAGCGGCTTCCCGCCCTAACGTGAGTATCATTCTCAGAGCTTCTACATATATCGGCTGAAATATAATATATAATTAGTATTGAACATGTGGGGCGTAGAGCGGGTAGCCTCGCCCAGCCACAGACAGTGTAGGGGCGCCGCCCACACCGTAAACATCACCTTGGAGCTTAAGGTAGTGTCCTCCTGCAGGCGTGTACCTTCAGTCCTCTGACCATTTATGATAGATAATGTATAGAATATTATACTAAAATTGGTGTTAGCAACAGCCTAGTGGACCAGACTCTCACAAGTCAAGCCTGGCCTCCGGCCGTACAACAACTCCCAGAACCCCATCAAGCAGGTATCAAGCAACTCCTGTAACTCACCGGGTTGTAATTGCAGGGGATGAGCCTCGGCTCTTGGGTCCCGCCTCTCATCTCTTAATGGACTTGGGTATAGATTTCAGTCTGCCCCGTCTATTCCAGAGTAGTTTATATATAGAAACTACTCTCATAGTAGTAAAACTACTCTGAAAGATATGATATAGTGTCATATCTCACTTGTGGATTCTCTCTTCATGTGAAGTTTAACATATGATATTTTTTCGTAGCTCATGTCTCTCAGTTCTGGTACTAGTCAGGTTGGGCAGAGTGGGTGTAATATTACCCTCTCCCCTCCCCCCCCAAGTCTTTTTCTCTGATTCCCATAGGATTTCCCCCCTCGTATGTGATGTCTTGTGTCCGGTTTCTGGTTCCACGTACCCAGCTTTATTGCTTTGCACTTGCTGAAGTTGAATTCTAGTAGCTACTTGTGGGTACATAGTTTTGGTCCTGGTCCTATTGTAGTTTCATACGTTCTTCCATTGTATTTATCTTCATACGTTTTGCATCATCGGCAAAAATTTAAGCGGGTATCAATCTTAATATCAAGCAGGTATCAGGCTTGATATCACCTTTCTCCACCTTGCCTAATCTCAGTCGCTCCTTAGTAGAATTATATCAAGTTTGTGTAGCAGGATTTGCTATCTGTGAAATACGCCGGTGTTATTTATTTTTAATTCATTTCTATTTATTGGCTCCACTCCCTTTAGCTCGGGAAGTTATCTATGCTTTATTGTGAAGACCTCCTGGAACCTCCTTCGAAATGCTTTATTGTGAAGACCTCTTGGAACCTCCTTCGAAATGCTTTATTGTGAAGACCTCCTGGAACCTCCTTCGAAATGCTTTATTGTGAAGACCTCCTGGAACCTCCTTCGAAATGCTTTATTGTGAAGACCTCCTGGAACCTCCTTCGAAATGCTTTATTGTGAAGACCTCCTGGAACCTCCTTCGAAATGCTTTATTGTGAAGACCTCCTGGAACCTCCTTCGAAATGCTTTATTGTGAAGACCTGGAACCTCCTTCGAAATGCTGTATTGTGAAGACCTCCTGGAACCTCCTTCGAAATGCTTTATTGTGAAGACCTCCTGGAACCTCCTTCGAAATGTTAAGACACTTGTGTCGTTCTCAGTGAATGAGTCGTGTCTTTAGTTCATCACTTGTTCCTTAACTGTCGTCTTCCTTCTGGTGATGACTGTAGAGTATATTGGGTTGGGTCTTTACCTGCAGAGTTGTTTTCAAACTGCTTTTCTGCTTCTATTCTAGACTATTCTAGACTCACTTCTATTCTCACTCATCGCTGCCTTTGTGGTTCCATTTTGTCTGGTCTCCTGTTATTCTTTTCCTGTAGTTTCCCATGCCTCAAGCGGTAGTAGTAGAGCTCAAGTGTGATGTGATTTCGAGGAGGCCTGGTCGAGGATCGGGCCGCCGGGACGCTAAGCCCCGAAACCATCTCAAGGTAACGTCAAGTCGAGCACCTGGAGTCATTATTTACTCAAGCATTCCAGGAATAGCTCGTGGCAGGAATGTTCCTGGCGGCGGGGCGGGAATGTCACTGGGTCAGGCTAGTCAATGCCACAGGAATGGTGCCAGTGGCATTGACTATGGCAGGAATGGTGCCAGTGCCTGCTGGCTGTTAAGTGGGGGGAAATGGGGGGTGGTGCCGTGTGTGGTTAGTGGACTACTCGGGTATGTACAGGTATGCCACTTTTGGCACTCCACTGGATCATTGCTGTGATCAAGGCACTCCACTGGATCAGTGCTGTGATCATGGCACTCCACTGGATCAGTGCTGTGATCATGGCACTCCACTGGATCAGTGCTGTGATCATGGCACTCCACTGGATCAGTGCTGTGATCATGGCACTCCACTGGATCAGTGCTGTGATCATGGCACTCCACTGGATCAATGCTGTGATCAAGGCACTCCACTGGATCAATGCTGTGCTCAAGGCACTCCACTGGATCAATGCTGTGATCAAGGCACTCCACTGGA